GACGGGCTCCAGAGAGACCTAATGCCCTTGGCTTCTCCAGAGGCCACAGGGCGCCTGCCAGGGGAGGTCAGGGCTCGACCAAGCGGGGAGAGCTGGCAGAGCCCCTTCAGCCGCTGGTCTCGGGCCACTGGGCACGGGCCCTTTGGTCTTCGTTCAGCAAACGCCTCCAGGGGCCGCCGTGGCCTGGCCCTGGCCCGAGTGGAGCCCGGGGAAGGCGGCAAACGGGACCCTACGGCCATGTCCCGCAGTCACACTTCCATAAGTCACCTCCAAGTATGGAAACCACTACGGAGCTTCTGAGGAAGGGCAGCGGGGGCCGAGGGCGGCGAGTCAGAGGGAAGACGCCCTGGCTTGGGCTGAGGCTCGAGGCGGACAGGGCGGCGGCCTGGAGCGTGAGCTCCGCGTCAGGGTCTGTCTTCCCTCCTCTCGCCTTCTCTTTCCTCGTGTTTCTAGTGCCTGGAGCAGACTCGGCTCCGTGAATGCTCCTGAGTGGCTGAAAGGCCCTGAGGCAGCAACGAGAAACTCACGTTGGCGGGAGGGGATGAATGAGCCAGAGGGGGGAGGGTCAGCGGGTCCAGGCTGGGGACCGAGGGGACGTGGGGGGACGAACAGCCCGCCCCGCCCGGCAGAGCTGCAGGCGGCCTTCCAGGAGTTCGACCGCGACCGGGACGGCTACATCGGCCACCGCGAGCTGGGCGCCTGCATGCGGACGCTGGGCTACATGCCCACCGAGATGGAGCTCATCGAGATCTCCCAGCAGATCAGTACGTGCTGGCCACACCCGCCCCACCGCGAGGGCGGCACAGCTCGGGCCCCGGAGCCCAGGCCAGGTCTCCCGCAGAGTCCCGCTGCTTCGCGGGCTGGGGTGGGCAAGGATGGGGGTCCCCACTGACTCTCTGGGGGCCGAATGGCCGCCCCAGGCCCCAGGAGCAGGCCCCTGCGGCCAGGTCAGCGGCCCAGCCCCAGGGAGTCGTGAGAGTGATTTCCCGCCAGCTCTGCACCTTGTTTGGAGGGAAGCACTGAGGGCCGGCAGGAAGGGAGGGCTCACCCCGCAGAGGGTGGGGGGTGGGCCAGCTAGAAGGGCCAGGGCGGAGGAGGCCGGCCTCTGACGGCCTGGCCCCAGGCGGGAGGGTGGACTTCGAGGACTTCGTGGAGCTGATGGGCCCCAAGCTGCTGGCGGAGACGGCAGACATGATCGGCGTCAGGGAGCTGCGCGACGCCTTCCGGGAGGTGCGGCGGGCGGCGGGCGGCGGGCCTGCGTCTAGAGCGGCCAGAGGGTGGCTCGGTCCTGACCCGGTGCCGCTGCAGTTTGACACCGACGGGGACGGCCGCATCAGCCTGGGAGAGCTCCGGGCGGCCCTCAAGGCCCTGCTGGGGCAGCGGCTCAGCCAGCGGGAGGTGGACGAGATCCTGCAGGACGTGGACCTCAACGGGGACGGCCTGGTGGACTTCGAAGGTACCCCACGCCCCACCGAGCGGCGCACGCCCTGAGGTTTTGGCAGACAGAGAAGCGACCAGGGTGTATCTGTCGCTGTGTGCTAGGCCCTGGGCTGCGCAGCGCCACGTCCCTGCCCAGGTGACCATCGCCCCAACCCAGGACAGAGCTAGTGTCATCCCCACAGGCAGGAACTGGAAATGCAGCGGCGAGATGGGAGCCCCGAATTCAGCTCTTCCTCTGCATTGCATCTCACAGAGGAAAAGCTGTATTAAGTAATAAGAATCCGGGAACATCAGTAGGTATAAATTCCTGGAAGTTGGCGCCAATGTCCCTGAGCTTCCTAGCAGACGAAGCAAAGAAAATAGGTTCCGTCGTAAGAGCTTTTCGTTCATAAGACAAAGGCCCGTCTCCCTGAGGCCAACTCTCCCAGAGCCAGGGGACCCTGGCAGGCCCTGTCCAGACTCCACACCCTCTCACCCCAAGTCCAACAGCTTGGCTTCACGTCTGACGGGCTCCAGAGAGACCTAATGCCCTTGGCTTGTCCTGGCAGAGTTTGTACGAATGATGTCTCGCTGAGCCTGCTCAGACGCGCGGTGCCCAGGACACGGGGATGCCGCTCCAGAAGTCCCTGGGAGTCCTCAGTGCAGGGGGACCCCTTCTCTCCACCTCTGCCTGAGTGCACTGCCCCTCCCCCCCACCCCCCCTCCAAGCTCCCTCGCCCATCCCTGCTTCTCTGACAATAAAGAGTCTTCAGACGGAAGCGAGGACTTTATCTCCTACTTGCTCATGCTACAGGACTCAAAAGCTGACCCACCTGGCCTCAAGCCCTCTTGCGTGCAAACTCCCAGTGGGTGGGTGCTCCACGCAGCTTAGGGCTGGTGTCGGCACTGTCTCCATGAGTAGACGCAAACCCTGCTCCCGGGGCAGGTGGGCCCCGCTACCTGGGAAGGGCTGGCCGGTCCAGGCTGGCCTCAGAGGCTGGCACAGGTGCCCAGGGCCCCTCTGGGTCTTACCCCTGGGGGTCTGTGCCCAGAGCTCCCACCCAGACAGGACTTAACATTCAGCTGAAAGAAGCGAGTTAGCAGCAGGCTCGCCGGGCCCCTTCAAGCTGCCCTCTGGGCTGCCCTGCCGGGCTCCAAGTGAACCCAGGGAGGGAGAGCGTCCTGCTGCCCCGTGAGGCCCGAGCCCTCCCTGCCCTGAGCGCCCTGCTAGACCCGGGCTCACGGCCCATTCCTGTCATCTCCCACCCCCCTTTGCATCCTGCTTCAGCTCAGGGTCTGCTGTCTGGGGGCACCAATGGACGCGTCCCTCGCACCACCCACCTGCCCATCCCAGCCGGCTGCCGGCAGTGGAAACCAAAGGCCGAGTGTCATGGCTCCCAGGGGCCCACCTCCCGCTGCCGGCCCCTCCCAGGCCGAGCACGCGTGCTGCCAGGACATTCCTCCACGCCACTCCGCTTCTGTTGCTCCTGTTCAGGAGTTGACCACGATGTCCCCCCATGCCCCCAGGTTCACCCAGCCTGAGCCCCGACGGCCAGAAGCCACACACAGCGAGGATGAAGCGCGGAGGTGGGACTTCTCATGGCCCGACAGGCTCTGGAAGCACAAGCCTGCCTCAGGACAGGTGTGGGCCAGGACGGCCTGGTGGGAGGCCCCGGCCCCTGCCCGCTGCAGGCGTGAGCCCTGGCCTCCCCGACACAGGGGCTGGGGCTTTCAGGGGCCAAGCAGGCTGCAGCCACTGGGGCCTGCCCAGCTCAGAGCCTGGCCCAGGGGCCCGCGCAGGCTGCAGCAATCTCTGTGCCACACTTTCTGGCCTGACAGACCCCAGGTAACCCTTAATCTTCAGTGAAGTGATGTCTCCTGCTGGCTAGGCAGGTCTAGGGATGAGGAGCTACCCAGGCCCGCCCCCCCACTGCCATCTCTGGCTGGCGCAGATGGCCCTGCCGTCTAGGAAGATGTCGCCCCTCTCCACACGGCTTCGGGGTGGTGATGGGGGTGTGCCTGTGGAAGGCTAGAACTCCACTCCAGTTGGCCTCCCACCGGCGCTGGGTCCCCATTCGGGTCAGTTCTGAGATGGCGTGAATGGGGTGAGTGGTGGGACGGTCTTGACTGCAGCATGCTCCCAGCTCCCCCAAATCTCATATATACCCTCCTACCCCGAAAAGATGGTTAGCCTGGAAGTCCAGCAGGAAAGAGCAGGAGCAGGCACGGGAAGAGGCAGACAGTGAGAAGCTGAGAGCCCCTTCCCCCCAGAGAAGGGGCACTGGCCACCAGCCCCACCCACTGCCGGGACAGTCTGGAGCTGCGACATCATCGGGTACTCCAAGAGAAATTGTAAATTCAGGTGTGGACATTAAATGCACTTTAAATAGCTCGAGTGTAATAAAGACATTCAGTGAGGCGAAGGGATCTCAAGTGCCCAGCTCAATGAATTTTTGGGCATGTGTACACCCAGGTAACCATCATCCACTTATTCAAAAACAGATTTTTACAGAATTATCTAGAAGACAGCACAGAGTATTCCATAAACACCCACACACATGCCACCCAGCCTCTCCCATGTGTTAGTCAAGTTCCCCAGACAGGCAGAACCAATCAGAGGTGTGTGAGTATGTGTTTAGAAAGATATTTATTGTGAGGAATTGGTAATTATAATTCCAAGCTCCATAGCCATCAAGTTGGGGACTGGGAGACAAAGTGTGTAGTATCAGTCTGAGTCCAAAGGCCCAAGAATGATGAAAGTCAGTGGTGTGCGTTTCAGTCTGGGGGCACGAGAAGGCTGTCCCAGATCAAACACTCAGGCAAGCAGGTCTCCTCCTACTTAGCCTGTTTGTTCTAGTCAGGTCTTCAACTAATTGGGCGAGGCCCACCCACACTGGGCAGGGCAATCTGCTTTACTCAGTTCATCTTGGGCCCTCCCTGGTGGTACAGTGGGTTAGGACACAGCACTGCAAGCTAGCAGCAGCCGCTTCAGTGCACGCTCGATCCCCAGTGCAGGAGGTGACCACGTGGCGCGGCAGACCTCTTCTGACCTGCCCCCTGCTCCCCTCAGCACAGTACTTTGCTGATTTGCCTCTTCTGCTCCCCACTCTGTCTCTGGTGAGTCCTCTCACCGCCCCTGCACCTCTGGCCTGTACCCCAGTTCTGCATGCATAAATAAATAAATAAATCTTTTAAAAACTGTTCATTTTGGGCCTCCCTACTGGCCTAGGGGTTGAGTCTTAGCACTGTCACCATCATGGCCTGAGTCCTTCCCCTCCCAGGAAGAGACCCGCAGGATGCAGCAGACTTCTCCTGTCTCC